GTATGTCTTTTTTAATATTTATATTCAATAAAAACTATTAAAAAAAAAAAAGATTTCCACCCATGGAGCTATTGGAGGTTTTCTTTTCATATAACAGAAGGGGGCCAAGGCAAATGAAAGTCTGAAGATTGTTATTTAAAATCAAGAGATTAAAATGCATCTCGGAGGAAATCTGGAAAAAAAAATGCATTGGTTTTACACAACTGGCAAAGGGGGGAAAAAAGCAGAGTAGCTATTTTTAAAGTCTTCGCCACTAGGTGGCAGTGCCATAATACAGAAGGAGTAATAAGAGGATTAATATAGGAAGTCCTCGACATACGACCAAAATGGAGGCCAAAATTTCAGTTGTTAGACAGTGGCTGTATATTTCCCTATAATTGTAATTTACAACTACTGAACTGTTTAAAATTTTAAATAACAAAATAACAGAGTTGGAAAGTATGTTGGAGGTCTTGCAGCAGTAGTGGGTTTCAATTTTTTTTTACTACCGGTTCTGTGGGCGTGGCTTGGTGGGCGTGGCATGGTTTGGTGGGCATGGCTTGGCTTGGTGGGCATGGCAGGGGAAGGATACTGTAAAATCTCCATTCCCAACCCACTCCACGGGAAGGAAACTGCAAAATCCCCATTTCCTCCCGATCAGCTGGGACTCGGGAGGCAGAGAATAGATGGGGGTGGGGCCAGTTAGAATTTTTACTACCGGTTCTCCGAACTACTCAAAATTTCCGCTACCAGTTCTCCAGAAGTCTGCTGAAACCCACCTCTGTCTTGTAGTCTAACCTCCTGCTCAAGCAGGAGATCCTATAACATTTCAAATAAAATGAAATTAAAATTATTATTATTTTTTTTAAATGTAATTTCATTGTAATTTAATAATGATCTATTATGGGGACCTCTGTAGCGGGATAATCACTCCATTCTTAACATTTTACATCTGCAATATATGAAAAGAGAGAGAGAGAGAGAGAAATATAAGCTATTTAGAAGCAACCAATTTTCTTTGAATCTGTTAACACTCTTAAATGCAGAACCCTGATAGAAAAAGGGAAAATACCGTCTCTTTAATTCAAAACCAGCATACTGCTGTATCACAGGATTGTTTGGGGAATACAGAAATTTGAAAATATATAGCCGGCTTGATGCCAATCTAATCAAATGTTGCTGGAACTCATTTTCCAATCTAGGGAGATCGGTTGGTGCAGCTTGATGGCCCAGAAGTATCTATACATATTAAACGGGCAGCTCTGAAATAAATCTAACTCCAAGACATTCTTCCTTGCAACTATTTCCAGATTCGTTTGTGGTCTGCCTGCATTCAATAACGGGATCTAAGCATTAGTTCTGATCTAAAGCTAAATTAGAAGAATACCAGTAGCATTTCTCAAATCTAGGGGAGAGAGGAAAGGAGGGAGGGAGGGAAGGAAGGATCGAAGAATAGAGTAGGACATTTGCATCATAAAGGTAAAGGTTCCCCTCGCACATATGTGCTAGTCGTTCCCGACTCTAGGGGGCGGTGCTCATCTCCGTTTCAAAGCCGAAGAGCCAGCGCTGTCCGAAGACGTCTCCGTGGTCATGTGGCCGGCATGACTCAATGCCAAAGGCGCACGGAACGCTGTTCCCTTCCCACCAATGGTGGTCCCTATTTTTCTACTCGCATTTTTTACCTGCTTTCGAACTGCTAGGTTGGCAGAAGCTGGGACAAGTCACGGGAGCTCACCCTGTTACGCGGCACTAGGGATTTGAACCGCTGAACTGCCAACCTTTCGATCGACAAGATGATCTCAGCGTCTAAGCCGCTGAGCCACCACGTCCCTTAATTAATTTGCATCATATGAAGATGCATTTTGATCTGCACTAAACCCATCGCTGCTTGCTTTGTCTTCCATTTGCTATTCGCTCTCCGAGAGCTCCTAATTTTTTTTTTTAATCCAAGCATTTAAGCACTTTAAGAACTTCAGCCATATAAATCAAAACCAATTATTTAGGAGTAATAACCTAAAGTTCTCCATGTGTTTTACTATGGGGTAATTGTCGCCCAATCTTCTTTAGACCTGCCCCCTACCTCAACCCTTCAACACAGTGGTGAAATGTAAAATTTGTTACTACCGGTTCTGTGGGCGTGGCTTGGTGTGTGGGGGGGTAATGTGGCTGGGTGGGCGTGGCCAACTTTTTTTTTTTTTTACTTTTAAAAGCATTTTTTTCTACAATCTCTTCGGCCGAAGAGGTTGTTTTTTTTTTTTTATTATTTTGATTTATATGCCGCCCTTCTCCGAAGACTCAGGGCGGCTTACAATGTGCTCAGCAATAGCCTTCATCCTTTTGTATATTTATACAAAGTCAGCTTATTGCCCCCACAAACTGGGTCCTCATTTCACCTACCTTAGAAAGGATGGAAGGCTGAGTCAACCTTGAGCCTTGGCGAGATTCGAACCCTGCAGTAATTGCAGGCAGCTGGTCTTAATAAGCTTAATAACAGGGTGCCTTAAACCCCTGTAGTACCAAGGCTCTCTTTTAAAAAATGCTTTTAAAAGCCTCTGATGATCAGGCAACTCAACTGGGATTGTCAGAGGCTTTTAAAAGCTTTTTTTTTTTGCAATTTCTTCGGCCGAAGAGGTTGTAGAAAAAATGCTTTTAAAAGGCTCTGATGATCCCAGCTGAGCCTCGCGATCATCAGAGGCTTTTTTTTTACTTTTAAAAGCATTTTTTCGGCCGAAGAGGTTGTAGAAAAAACACTTTTAAAAGTATATTTTAAAAAAAAGCTGGGCATGGGTGGGGGCACAGGGATTTTTGCTACCGGTTCTCCGAACCGCCCACCGCCATCGCTACCGGATCGGGCGATCCGGTCCGAACCGGGAGCATTTCACCCCTGCTTCAACATCTGGAAAGAGAGGGGTACTTACAGAGACCACATTCACAAAGTCATCATCCGACAAGGTTTCCAACATTTCAATGACGGACGTTCGGATCAACTTCAGGGTCAACCCACTGACGCTCCCGCTCCTACCAAGGAGAAGAAACCATCAATCGTGGACCATCAAAAGTGGACATCTCACGTGTTACTCTGGCCCTTTACAAGCAAGTCTGGGCCAGTTCTGACTTGCGGTCTTATCTTTTCCATGACTTTGATCTCTTCCATTGGCAAACCCAAAGAGCCTTTGGCAAGTCGAAGTCAGGGATCTTGAGGTTACTCCTATTTTTCTTGCAAATGAATTGAGCTCTTCACATCTATGAGAGATGTCGATAAAGCTTCGGAATTACGTGCTGCTGTTGTTGTTTTTAAGTTTTTTATTTTTCAAAATTTAAGCATCCCATCTTTCCTTAAACAGTGCATTGCCTGGGTACAAATATCTCTGCAACAACCTTCAACATTTACAACGTCACTCACATTAATATTAATTCTCTAATCTTAAGATTATAGTATATTAAACAATTATAAGCTTGTTCATTTTTCCTCTTAGCATGTCTTCTAGTAAGAATACAATAATAATAACACTGCGCATAATTACCCTCGCCATCATAATACTAACGATTATCATCTTATTTATACTTATATCTTAACATATTTTCTATTCTTCTTTAATCTTCTCCTTTTATTTCCAGTTCCCCCTTTTATTCTCCAACCATTGAAAAAATACTTCCCATATCATATATCATTCAGTTTGTTCTTTCTCCTTAATTGCTAGTGTTAATCTGTTCATTTCTGCACATTCTAATATTTTCCTAATCACCTTCTCATCAAGAGGAATCTCTGTTGTTGCCGTTTTATGTGTAAGCAAGTCGCAACCATATTTTGAAATTTAGATTATTTTTATTCCATTTATTTTAATCTATCTATCTATCTATCTATCTATCTATCTATCTATCTATCTATCTATCTATCATCTATCTATCTATCTATCTATCTATCTATCTATCTATCTCTTTGTAAGCAGGCAGAGCCTGGGGGTTGGAGTCAAGCAAGTCATTAGCTTAGAATCATTACGTTCCCACAAATTGTCTAAATCCAATTCCTCCTGAATTTCTTTGACTTTTATGTAGTGCTAATTTAGTGCTGACTGTTAGTTGACTAGATTAAGAATCGGGACCATACATTAAGTTCCAGTTAAGATGATTTATTAATTGACCACAATTGAGCCCAAAATTTATGTTGCTAAATGAGAAATGAGTTTTGCCCCGTGTTACGACTTGCCTTGCCGCATACCGAATCATTGCAGTTGTTAAACGAGTAACCCGGTTGTTAAGTGAATCTGACTTTCCCATTGACTTTGATTCTCAGAAGGTCGCAAAAGGGGATCACGTGACCCCCAGGGCACAGCAATGGTCATAAGTATGAGCCAGTTGCCGAGCATCTGGATTTTGATCATGTGACCACGAAGATAGTGCAACGGTCGTGTAAGTGTGAAAAATGGCCATGTCACTTTTTTCAGTGCCGTTGTAACTTTGAACTTTGGTCTTTTAGTCCAACCCCCTGCTCAAGCAGGAGACCCTTCCTTCTTCCCTCCCTCCCTCCTCAGTCTGTCTCCTTCCTTCCTTTCTTCCCCTCTCCTCTCCCTTCCTTCTACCCTCCCTCCCCAGTCTGACTCCTTCCTTCCTTCCTTCCTTCCTTCCTTCCTTCCTTCCTTCCTTCCTTCCTTCCTTCCTTCCTTCCTTCCCCTCTCCCTCTCTCCTCTCCCTTCCTTCTTCCCTCCCTCTTCCTTCCCCTCTCCCTCTCTCCCCTCCCTTCCTTCTCCCCTCCCTCCCCAGTCCCTTCCTTCCTTTCCTTCCCCTCTCCCTCTCTCCTCTCCCTTCCTTCTTCCCTCCCACCCCAGTCTCTTCCTTCCTTCCTTCCCTCCCTGCATCCCCCCTTCCTTCTCTCAACTTCCTTCCTCTCTCCCTTTCTCTTCTTCCTTCCTTCCTTCCTCCCTCCCTGCCTCCCTCCTTCCTTCCTTCCTTCCTTCCTTCCTCCCTCCCTCCTTCTTTCCTTCCTCCCTTCCTCTCTCCCTCCTTCTTTCCTTCCTTCCTTCCTTCCTTCCTTCCTTCCTTCCTTCCTTCCCTCCCTCCCTCCCTTTCTCTCTCGCCGTTCCTCCCTTAAAATTCACATTCTTAGAAGCCGCTTTGGGATTTCAACCCCTTTCTTTCACAAGGAAGATCAGTGAGCAGCGCTATTTTTTCCCCCTCGTCCTGTTGCATTTCAAAAGGTTATCAAAGCGAATATCATTTATATATTCATCCTATTGATACATCCGCCCATCTCATGAGAAATGCGTCTCTGGGCGGCGTACCATAAAAACAGCCTTCCCGTTTTTAAACATCTTCATGCCCATTGCCGTAACCCCAAAAAATATATATACTTTACAATCCTCTGTATGAATGCTTAACCTTTGGGGGGCACTTACGCATCAACGAGAATCAGCATATCTTTTGGAGAGGCGGCTCCTTGGATGTACCTGGAATGAAAAGATAAGCGGATAGAAAAAGGTCAGAACTTTCTAAAAAAAATCCTTTTGTTAGTGTCCGGATCTCTCAACAAGGGACTCCCGATGGATCCAAAGAGACTTCTTTGTAAACCCACCAGGAAACTTAACCTCCCCCCCAAAAAAATCTCATTTCTTATTTAGCCGACGCCTGTCTGAATAACCGTGAAATTGGACAACATCTGAAGCCCCTTTTAGTACACCACGTTCCGAGCTTCGCAAAGCACCATCAAAAGGTTGCATAAAGAGAACATGAATGGTGTCTGGTTCTGTAGGAAGTTAGCACCCACCCCTCGCCTAGGAAAATGAGATGTTTTAGGAAATATTAAAAAGGGCAGAATATTTCCCCTAAAAGGGAGGCAGAAATTCAGCCTCCCTCCCCCCGACACCTCTGTCAATGGGACATTAAGGCCTGGGCCAGTCTATTCCAGTCTAGGCCTGACTAGGTGGCTCAGTGGCTAAGACACTGAGCTTGTCGATCAGAAAGGCCAGCAGTTCGGCGGTTCGAATCCCTACTACAGGTCTCCTGCGTGAGCAGGGGGTTGGACTAGATGACCTCCAAGATCCCTTCCAACTCCGTGACTGTTATTCTACATAACCAACATCTATCTCCTTCAGGCAGAGCCATAGGAGGAATTGCCCAAAGCAATTTCATGACATCATCACCCAGCAAGAGTCAACCAAGCTTGGGACTCAGGACACTCCTACAGCAGTGTTGGCGAACCTTTTCGGTACCGAGTGCCAAAACAGGGGCACGTATATGCATCTGCACATGCATGCATGCTGGAAACAGGAAGAGCAGCCGCCCGGTGTGCTTGCGTGCATCGGGAAGATGATCTTCCGGTTTGCAGCGCGCACATGCGCACCGGCCAACTGAACTTCCGGTTTCTGGTGCACATGCACATGTGAAGACCAACTGATTGGTGCACATGTGCACGCCGGAAACTGGAAGATCATGTTCCTGGCATGTGCATGCATGCTGGGCAGCTGCTCTTCTGGTTTCCGGCACTTCTGCATGCATGAAAACCAGCTGGCTGGTGATCTGTCCCTGTCCACACACACACACAAACACAGCCAGCCGAGGGTTAAGAAAGTACTTGGCACACACACAGGTCGCTATCTCAAACTTGGCAGCAATATAATCACCGTCTGCCAAGAGCTTTTACTGCAACAGATAACATAAAATTACATACGCATTGCAAATAGTCCAGCAAAACAAAATCCCTTTCGGCAGCTTCAGACGTTGTTCAAGTGCCTAGCCAAAGTTAGTTTTTGTTCGTCACAGAGTTTTACCAGCCACCACCCTCTCTTATATAGTCTCTGGGGTGTGGTCCAGTGACTCAGTTCTAATCCCTAGCACGCCTCCTTAACTGCTGCAACCGTTTATCACGCCTTCGTTGGCGTGCATCCAGGAACGACGGCTCTCCTTCCTCGCTCTCATCCGAGACACCTGGCTCCTGGCTAATCTCCTCTCCCTCGGCTGGCACCTGAGACAGTGCCAGAGGGGAGGGGCCTGGAGAGGGAGGCCTGGCTGACTCCTCTTCCTCATGTTCGGAGCCTTCTTCCTCCGATGAGATAGGCTCAGAGGGCGGGGCCACAACAGCTGGTGCGTAGAAGCTGGAAGTCGGAAGCCAGAAGCCGGAAAGCCAGAAAGCCGGAAGCCAGAAGCCGAAAGAGCAATGGGCGACAGCTCGTGTGCTATAGATTCGCCATCACAGGCCTACAGAGTTGCCCCTGATTGGCCCCCATGGAGGTCTGACAACCAATCGGAACACAAGATCAAATTTCGAAACCCAGAGAGGGCATATAAAACCCAGGCACCTCTCAGCATCTCTTCCTTTTTTCCCCCCTCCTCTTCACTCAAGATCTTCAAGGCACGTGATCCTGTCCACCATTAAAAAAAAAACAATCTTTCCAAGCAGCCACCACATATTTCCAGTGTCTTTCTCTTCTCACTTGGAACGGAACCCAGAAGGAGATTTCTTCCAACCCTTTCAAGAGCTTGAACCTCTACAATTCGGTGCATGGATTGTGAGACGCAGAAAGTTCTCGATTAGAAAGTCCCCGAGTTTGTTTTGATGGCTGGCTGGCTGGCTCGAAGTACGAATTAACAACCTCAACAGGAGGGAAGCTTTGAAAATGGAGGGGGGGGGAAGCAGCTCTCGGAAAAAGTTCTCCCGTGTTCCCTCTTCCCTCTAAATTGCTTTGCTCCTTCCCCTCCGCGGAGCTGCTAATAGGAAATCTGAAGGGGGGGGTGGAGGAAGGAGGCAAAAGGCAAAATAATGCACCCCCTCCCCGCAAACCTTTTTCCTCCCACCGGTTCCATTTTCCAAACTTCAAAGCAAACCCCTTCCTCCTTTAATTAAGAAATCTGTAAAAAAAACAGCAAAGGAGCGAAGAGGCCCTCCCGAATCAACATTTGATTAATTCGGGTGACTGGTTTTATAGGTTTATTTGATATTTTAATTAAAGGGTGTTTTTTTTATTATCATTGCGTGTAGTAATTCTTGCTCAAATTCTTGTTCTCTGTGATTTTTTAACATATCGGTGCTTGGAGAAAAACTGACATCTGAAACTGCCTTTCAGAATTTTAAATCTTTCTATGTCTGTCTAATCTATATCTTCTTCATCATTAGCATCAATATCTATCAATTTATCTATCAATTATCTCTCTATTCACTCTCTATGTATTTATATCTATCCATCCATCCAGAATTTTAAATCTATATATATGTCTGTCTGTCTGTCTGTCTATCTGTCTCTCTCTCTCTCTCTCTCTCTCTCTCTCTCTCTCTCTCTCTCTCATCTATCTATCTCTTATCTATCTATCTATCTATCTATCTATCTATCTATCTATCTATCTATCATCTATCCTACCTCTATCCTATCTATCTATCTATCCATCCATCCATCCATCATCCCTCTACCTATCTATCATCTATCTGTCTGTCGATCGACCGATCGATAGATTATCTATTTATCATCGGTCTGTCTGTCTATCCATCCATCCATCCATCCATCTAGAATTTTAAATCTATATGTCTGTCTATCTATTTACCTATCTATCTATCTATCTACCTACCTACCTACCTACCTACCTACCTACCTACCTACCTATCATCTATCTATCTGTCTGTCTGTCTATCAATCATTGTCTGTCTGTCTGTCTATCTACCTACCTACCTGTCTGTCTGTCTATCAATCATTGTCTGTATCTGTCTGTCTGTCTGTCTGTCTATCTATCTGTCTGTCTGTCTGTGTCTATCTACCTACCTACCTACCTACCTACCTATCATCTGTCTGTCTATCAATCATTTTCTGTCTGTCTGTCTGTCTGTCTGTCTGTCTATCTATCTATCTATCTATCTATCTATCTATCTATCTATCTATCATCTGTCTATCTATCCATCCATCCATCCACCCAGAATTTTAAATCTATGTCCATCCATCTATCTATCTATCTATCTATCTATCTATCTATCTATCTATCTATCTATCTATCTCCCATCTCCCCACCTCCGTACCCATCTATCCATCTATCCACACATACCCAAGCCCACACACCCTTGGCAGCTTTTGATGGACAATGCATTTGCACCCCAGGAAAGCTATCGTCAAGTTGATGGATTCACACGCATACAAAAGACGCAGCTTATCTTTTGTGGGATCAGAACTGAGTCTTTCTAAAGACGCCTCTGATTGAAGGTGGCGGTGATTTTATAAATAGAGCCTTAAGTTACTATCAAGGTTACCTTGCCTGGTGGAGCAATTTGACCGAACTACACAATCAAAATCAAAAGAAAGCGTTCCAGCATGTGTGATTTTTACCCAAGTCTTTTTAACGTCACTGAAACCTTCCTTCTGAACATTTTATATATCAGTATCTATTCTCTTACATTGAACTGAATATTTGAACCCTCCAAGCACTAAGGGGAGAAAAAATGGAATGTCTTAAATGCAACCAAGCCATGCATAACTTACAGCCAACTGAATCAGAATAGAGCTGGGAGGGACCTTGGAGGTCTTCTAGTCCAGCCCCCAGCTCAAGCATGAGATCCTATTGCTTTCCTATTGATTGGTGCTGTTGTGGCTCCGTTGCCTGAGCCTGGGCTATCGACAGATGCAGACTCTGAGAGTGAGGAAGAGGAGTTGGCAAGGCCTCCCTCTCCAGGACCCTCCTCTCTGGCAATGCCTCCAGAGGACACCAAAGGCCAAAAGATAGGCTCAGAGCCAAGCACGTCCCCACAGCCACAGGTGGACAGCGACGAAGGAGATAAGTGCTGGCTGGACCCTCGGCAGAGGCACAGGGAGAAGCGTGCACAGCAGAGGGGAAGGCATGCCAGAGATTAGCTGAGTCACTGGATCACACCCTACAGGGTATAAATGTGGGTGTGGTGGCCGGTTCAGTTTGTGATGAGCAAAAACTGGAAATAATCCATGATCTCTGCGTTACTGGACTTTGCCTGCTTTATCAGACTGCATTTGGATTAATCCTTATATTGTTGAAACTCTGCCTGTTTTATTGGAATGCTTGCAGTCTAATCTTGGTTTTGTGTGAGTAAAGTCTGAATTGGCAGCTAGCCACTGGTTTGCTGCCAGCTTTATCTTCAAAGAGTTTTGTCGTGTGGCTTATTAACTCCGGGCCGTCTGTGGGTGTGTGTGTGTGTGGTACGGGGACAGAACAGGTGCTAGAGCAGCTTGCAAAATGAACACGTTAAAGTGACACCTTTTGTATCTGAAACTTTGTGGCTTAAATCTGAGAGGAAAGGAAAGTGAAGCTGCTACTCAGACTGTTTTGATTTAGAAACGAGAAGGATGAAAAGATGAAAAGATGAGCTCCCCAAACACACAAGGGAGACTTACCATGGTCTTCTCCGGACATCATACAGATCAATCTTGTTTTGGGATTGACTCTTGTCTACCCAGGGAGAGGCTGAAAGGAGAAATACGACAGAAATAGAATTACAGGGAAGAAGAATTTACATCTTCACTGGATTGATGTAGAGAAGATGCTTCCATGGACATCCGAAGCTTGATGTTTTTTGTCCCTTGATTTATGACCGCAATTGATTCCAGAATTATGATCGTTAAATTGTTGCTGTCCTTAAGCAAGGCACCGATGCAATCTCAGCTCTCCCGTTGCAAGCAATCTTTATGCGGAGCTTAGGGCGCTTCAGGACTTTGAATTGATGAACGAATGGTCATAAATTGAGGACGAGCTGTAATTCTGATTTAGAGTTAGATTTTAGAGTTATAGAGAACAATGTTAGTCAGGAACGTTTACTCAATATATTATAAGGTATTTATCTTGCAGGCAGTGGTGAAATCCAATTTTTTTTTACTACCGGTTCTGTGGGCTTGGCTTGGTGGGCGTGGTATGGCTTGGTGGGCGTGGCTTGGTGGGTGTGGTAGGGGAAGGATACTGCAAAGTCTCCATTCCCTCCCCGCTCCAGGGGAAGGATACTGCAAAGTCTCCATTCCCTCCCCACTCCTGGGGGAAGGATATTGCAAAATCCCCATTCCCACCCCACTCCTGGGGGAAGGATATTGCAAAATCCCCATTCCCACCCCACTCTGGGGCCAGCCAGAGGTGGTATTTGCCAGTTCTCTGAACGACTCAAAATTTCCACTACTGGTTCTCTGAACTGCTCAAAATTTCTGCTACCGATTCTCTGAACTACTCAAAATTTCCGCTACCGGTTCTCTGAACTGCTCAAAATTTCTGCTACCGGTTCTCCGAACTACTCAAAATTTCCGCTACCGGTTCTCTGAACTGATCAAAATTTCCGCTACCGGTTCTCCGAACTACTCAAAATTTCTGCTACCAGTTCTCTGAACTGCTCAAAATTTCCGCTACCGGTTCTCCAGTACCTTCTCAGAACCTGCTAGATTTCACCCCTGCTTGCAGGAGAACTGAACACCAATGGATTACCTAAATGGAGACATTGTAATAAAACTTCCTAGAAACGTTCTAAGTAAAGCAGGAAGTTTTTGAAATATTTTTACTAAGCCCCTTTCTCTCCTAACCTTACTCCTTCGTTCTTTATTTAATAAACCCTTCAGTTAAAACATGTGTAATCAATCTAAATTGAAGCAATCTGAGGCAGAAGCTCCCAATCTACGAAAGGCTGACCTACCAACCTGTTTTCTACATCTCATTATATTCTGTGGGAAAAGATCTTAATCATAATTCTGCCCAATACGTCTCGATAAAACTGAATCCAAATTTGCAGCACGGCAACCTATTTAGAAGCACAAATTCTACATCCTTTGCTGAGATCTATAAAACCTACGCGGGCAATGAAAATAAGCCATGGGCTTTGCAAAGCACGTCGAAATATTGTTTACCTCTAAATTAAATTTTCTATAGTTTTATGAACTTGCTATCTTGATTTCTGAAACTCTAATAAAAGAAATTTGAGTTAGGGACTTTAGAAGTCAATGTAGTAAGTTGATTTATGATGAGCTAAACTCTGACAAAAGGGACGCTGTGGTTCAGTGGCTAAGATGCTGAGCTTGTCAATCAAAAGGTCAGCAGTTCAGCGGTTCGAATCCCTAGTGCCATGCAATGGGGTGAGCTCCCATTACTTGTCCCAGTTTCTGCCAACCTAGCAGTTCGAAAGGACGTAAAAAATGCAAGTAGAAAATTAGGGACCATCTTTGGTGGGAAAGTAACAGCGTTCTGTGTGCCTTTGGCATTGAGTCATGCCGGCCACATGACCACGGAGATGTCTCCGGACAGCGCTGGCTCTTCGGCTTTGAAATGGAGATGAGCACCGCCCCCTAGAGTCAAGAATGACTAGCACATATGTGCGAGGGGAGCCTTTACCTTTACCTAAACTCCGACTTTATAATCTATGGACTATATACCACATTTCTAATTATGATAAATATTCTAAACTATAAAATATAAGCCTGTATACAGTAAATTTTGGAATTCATTGTTGGAATGTATTTCTATTCAACAACTACTACAGCAATATTCAGCCAGTAGATGGCAGTGTTTACAAGTTTGGTTCCTTCGGGCTATTCAATAAACAAATACAATACAATACAAGTTTGGATCTATGACATAAACTCTATGCTCTTTTGTTCTACGTTTCCTGTTTCTTGTTACAGTTAAACAGTTGAGCAGTAAAGCACATGGTGACTGTACCTTTTTTTGCTCTTTGGTGCTATATATAAACAGAATTTTCTAAAAGTAAAGATGAAGGGTCATTAATTCTTCTCTCTCAAAGGCTTGTACAGTCACTGCAGAGAAGATTTTACTTCCTTTCATACATACAAACATTTTTAGGAAAATACAATTTCATAGCAGAGTCTTTTTACAGAAAGCAAATTACAGGAAATTCTCTAATGTGTATCAAATTTCAATAGTAGGAGAGAATATTTGGAGCTCGGGATTGAACTTTGGGGTTCTTGGTATTCTCTAAGCTTGGTTGTTTTCTTGCAGACATTTCATTACCCATGTCAATAACATCATCAGTGCTAAAAGGGAGTAGGGTTTGGTCTCCATTTATATGCAGTAGCTTAAAGTCTGTCAAATTTCTTCAACTATCCAAACAGTAGCTAAATCCAAATACTTTGCTATTTGAGGGCTTTTCTTGAGGGAGTGAATATGGGTAACTGGGATTAGATTTACACTCTGTTGTAATTCAGAAGAAAACTTCTATGATGTACTGTTGGTATATGACACCAGGGAAATTATCAAAAACATATAGAAGTATTTCAAACCAGCAGTGGAAAAGTGAAAAGTATGACAAGATATTTTATCAGACATGGTAAAATTGTGAGAAAACTTGAGAAATTCTGGGTGGGACAATCATATAATGATACAAAGGTTTTTAAAGATTGATGTTGCTAAGAAACCAGAATTCTTTTTATTGGCATTTATGGATAACGGATTTGGAGGAGGGGATCATGATAAATTGACATCGTGCATGGTAGCAATTTTCAAAATGTTTTTATGGGCAAGGATGGAAATAAAGAAATTCCTAAAATAGATGGGTTGTGCAACTACAGAAATGGAAAACCTGATCTGTTTGGCCAGAGAGAACAAAAACCACATTTTTAAAAAAAAGTCTGGAAGAGTTAGATGGACATATTGCTGAAAGAAGAAGAAGAAGAAAAAAAAAACCAATGATTTATGGATTTGAAGACTAAGAAAGATGAAAACGAAATGGGTGTGTGTGTGTGTGTGTGTAAAGGAAGACTATAAATTATTTGAGGTGGAAGAAGACAATAAAATTGTAATTATCTGTTGGGAAGAAGGTCAAAAGCTATCTATAAGCTTCCTTGGTTTCCTTTTCCTTTTCTTTTGATTTTATGGCTGCCCCCCCGCCTTGGTTTGTTACTATTATATGAAAAAGTTCAGTAAATATAAATTAAGAGAGGGGGAGGGAGTGGGAGAGGGAGGGAGACAGAGAGAGGGAGGGAGAGAGACAGGGAGGGAGGGGGAGGGAGAGGGAGGGAGGAAGAGAGGAAGGAAGAGAGAGAGGAAGAGACAGGGGGACAAAGGGAGGGAGGGAGGGAGAGACAGGGAGGGAGGGAGAGACTGAGGGAGAGAGGAAGACACAGAGAGGGAGGGAGACAGAGTGAGGGAGGAAGGGAAAGAGAGAGGAGGGAGACAGAGACAGAGAGAGGGAAGGAAAGATATAGACAGAGAGAGGGAGCAGGAGGGAGAGAGGGAGGGAGAGACTGAGAGTGAGAGGGAGGGAGACAGAGAGCGGGAGGGAGGGAGAGAGGAGGGGAGGGAAAGAGAGAGACAGAGGGAGGGAGGGAGAGGAGAGAGGGCGGGAGAGACAGAGAGAGAGGGAAAGGGAGGGAGAGAGAGACAGAGGGAGGGAGGGAAAGAAAGAGGGAGGGGGAGGGAGGGAGGGAGGGAGGGAGAGAGATCTGAGAATGAAGTGGCTACCTTCATCTAACTAACATCTACTTATCTAAAACTTAGCCCTGATGACAACATACTTTAAAAGCCAGAAAGTTAACTTTTCACAATAAATAATTTCATATAAATTGGGATGTTTAAATTATCTACAAAGCTTTCCCGGAAAACATGTTTTCATTAGCTTTCAAGGCCTAAACGGTATAATATTTACATCTAGGTAAGGATTACAGTTCTCCGCAATTTACAGTAGATCAAGGAGCGGAAAGATCCTTTCTTTTTATGCATAATTTTTTTTCATTTTCATTTATTGACTACTTTGAAGAAAATAACAAAAGAGAGAGGAGGGTATCACGGAAGAAAGAGTAGACGGGTATGATGGAGATAAATAAACTCTCCTGAGGATTGTGGTTTCCTAAAATATCATTAATTAATTCTGAATAATTTTATCTATCTCTCTATCGCTTAAGCTTTCACTTCTGAATTTAACTTAGAGATGAAAAAGGAAAACCACCCAACAAAACACAAATTGAAAGTTACTATAAAGCTTTCAGAAAGATCTTCCCTTCGTATTTTATTCTCTTATTACTTTTGATCTGTATTAACTTACAAAGGGTGCTTTTGTGAAATACACACTAATGATGGCCAAGCCTTGAAGTAAATTGATTTTGTTTTCAATAGTATAAGCTTCTTTATTTTTAGTGGGTTTGCTTAATCGGGTCAGAATCTCATCACGATTAAAATAAGGCCTACGGTATGATATAAAATTTAAAATTTAAAATGGTATTTTAAAGTTTGTGCAAAAACTAAATACGGTAGATCTTGCCCAATTTTTAACTGGCACAATCGCCTGTACGATCATTACAACGGTATTATTCCTGTAACAGTTTTCAGGAGGGAAAAAAAAAAAGAATTAAGATATTGACACTAAAGGGATATATTCTTCTTATGCTTTTTCAGGTGCTCTGAGTTATTTATAAAATAAATAAATAAATAAATAAAGGTAGGAGGAATTTCCTGACAGTGAGAATAATTAATCCCTGCAATGACTTGCCTCCAGAAGTTGGGGATATTTAAGAAGAGACTGGACATCTATTTGTCTGAAATAAAGGAATAACAGAGTTGGAAGGGACCTTGGAGGTCTTCTAGTCCAA